AAATATTTTTGATTTTCCGGGACATGTCACAAATTTTTAGTGATCCATCCTTAATTGGGGAATCCATCCCCAATTTTTAGAGTTTCGCGATTATGAAATTCACAATTGCAGTTCGGAATTCAATACCCGGAAAATTCTAAGAAGAACTTCGTCTGATTCTGTCGAACTGGTTGAACGTAATTGAATGATTCAACCATATGAAATTATCTGATTTCGATCTGTCAATTAGTGTAAAAATGGTGTGGCACTCGATGATTAAACACCCACCACGGCATTTGGTCACACGGATATGTCAATCAAGTGAAAAATGTTGAGGACCTGTAATTACGAGTTAAATCCTGATGGAGAGCTCTTTTATTTACCCTGATTGCATGATTGTTATCACACGGACAAATAGGTTTACATGAAACACCATCGGAATCACGTTTAATTACAAGTGAAAACACAATTTACTATTTGGGGATATATCCGCAATATTTAGAAATAAATCATCAATTTTTAGAGATTCTTGAGATTGACTGCAATTACACTAAATTTTAGGGTTTTAATTACTAAAATTTAGGGATTTAGATCCAAGCAATTTTTCCTGATTTCAGGATAAATTTGACAATTTAAGAACAAATTACCCAGGTATTTACTAAATTCCAGTAAGCAGAGAAAAATTGACTATTCATGAACTTTATTCCACGATTACTCGATTTTTGTCCGGTAATTTTAGGCAATTTCATTTCTCCCTGCACATCAAAATTTCCAAATAAATAAAATAAAATTTCCAAATAAAACGAGAACTTTACCACAGGATTTCTCACGTTTAGTCACATATTTTTTCCTCAAGTATTCTCTCCGTGCACGGACAAATAGGTTTACATGAAACCCCATCGGAGTCTACTACAAGAGAATTACAAGAGAAAACAAAATTTAGTTTTTGGGGATATATGCATAATATTTAGGAATAAATCATTAATTTTTTAATAATTCTTGACATTAACTGCAATTACACTCAATTTTAGGGTTTTAATTACTAAAATTTAGGGACTTAGATCCCTAAATAAATCTTAGGGAGTTAGATCCAACCAATTTTTTCTGGATTTCAGGATAAATTTGACAATTTAAGAACAGATTACCCGGCTGTTTAGTAAATTTCTCGCAGCAAGCCGAGAAAAATTCACCATTCCTGAACTTAATTCCACGACTCCTCGATTTTCGTCCGGTAATTTTAGCCCATTTAATTTCTCCCTGCGCATCAAAATTTCCAAATAAACAAAATAAACTTGCAAATAAAAAGAGAACTTCACCCCAGGATTTCCCACGTTTAGTCACATAATTTGTCCTCAAATATTTTCCGCGTGCAATCTCACAGATCGAGGTCTATCTCATGGCCCATGCTAATATCCAACCACTCCTCTCCAATATTTGCATTATCACATAATAAACCCCTAGACCACTGAAAAAAAAAAGAAAAATCTCTTTTCAATAAAACCCACATCTGGGATGAAACCCATTCGCGTGGGGCGGATCGCGCTCGTCGAAGAGACCTAGAGAGAATCGAAAAACTGATATATTTCTACCCTCAGCACTCGATGCGGGATAAGGGTGCATATCCCGTCGGTTTATTCTTCTACCCCCCTCCCCCTCCCCCTATTCTCGTTAAATCTGTACTCTCATCCGTGTCAAGTGCTCAAGTATAGAAAACAAGCCAAGCGCAGTTAACCGTTGACCGGGAATAATTGTTATGGATTTGGAGGTGTGCCGTGACCAGAACTTCTGGAAATGCTAGTGTAGCAAAGTTACCCGAGATTAAATAACCCCCGAGGAAGAGTTGAAAAACTCTGCGGAAAAACTGTTGGATTTGTCAACAAAAAAGAGTGGAAAAAAATTGCGCCGCAAACGGGTGCGGAATTTCATTCGAAAAATAGAGTAGTCGAGCGCCAAATGCAATTGGCGACCCCCGGAGGGAACCCAAACTGTCGCTAATGAGGACTGCAGAGTGAAACAAAACAAGAAATAGAAGAAAAAAATGGGCCCGAGGGCTACCAATCGCCGAGAATGATCGGATGTGTGGGGCACGGGCGGACGGGAGAGACTCTCGTGACCTAGATATTGCCAACCAACCACCGGCAGTAACTAATAATATGGACACAGGTAAACCTCGCGCGCTAACGCAATCGATTGTGTGCGACGGGTATGTGCTTGGGGCCGAAGCCTCGTTAGCCATATATCCCCGTCCTGAAGATACGAAGACTGGTGGAAAGAAACAGGCGGTGTGTGTGCGATAGATGGATGGATGAACGACAGAGAGGGGGATTCGATCGACAAAAAAGAAAGGGAAGTACCATGTGATCATGCCAGGTGGAAAAGTTGCCCTCTTGGTTATTCCACCGAGCGGATGAAATTCGATCCCGTCAAAGTGAGCTTCTCTCGCTCTCTTCCACGGGCAAAGTATCTTATCGCTTTTTCCTGCGTATCATCTCGGTGTCCAATAAAAATTCAACGCCAGTGAAGATTCGGATTTGAGAGTGGTAAATCACACGTGACGCGCGGGAGAAAGAGCTTCATTTCATTGGGTGCACTGGTAGGAGGACTGCACGGGGAGTTTGAGGGAGGAGAAATTGAAATGGGAAATTTTACTGTAGGGAAGGTCTGCGGGGGGCGATGTGTAGTGCAATGAGAAAATTTTTTGTAGAGGATATTTTACGATTCGGTCGGTAAAAAATACATCGATGGGTGCAAATATTATCCTCTTGTACGGTAAGATTTCCCGTGCCGGGAGGGTATTTTTTTTCTTGCATTTATGGGAAGGTCACACACTGGTAGAAAATTACTCCTGAAATTTCAAGTAAAAATCTTAGTTTTTAACAATCACTCATTCACACTAAAGTTTTATGTATTTTGTTATTGAAAAATCAGTTGAATTCGGGAGTAGTCAATGGAATTGCAGTTTTCAGGTCCATATGAGAATGAAAATTATTAAATAATTTGAAAATCCTAGATGTCATTGAAATATCAGTGATAATCTGACATCGAAAACCCAATTACACTGTTAGAAAAAAAAAAAATCTTATGGGCAGTTGATTACTAATTTTCACGACAGCGATTTAGGGAAAAACATTTATTCGATTTGTTAAACATTTAGGGCGACCCCATCAAAAAATATAATGTGGGCCAATTGCATATATTTTTTAAATTTACAAAGAGTATATAAAAAATATATAAAAACCATATATTTTGTATATTTTCTAATATATTTTTCAAAATATAAATTTTTTCATTTGGAGACCATATTCGGAAGAATTAAAAATCTTCGGCAAGCAAAAAATATTACGCATGACCCTCAGCTGCATTTAATCAGAATATTTCTCGACGTGGGCTAGACAATCCCCTATACTAGTACTCTTCCAGTGATGAAATCAGGATAACGCACGTTCTTTGAAACGATGACACGATGAAGAATTGAAGAATTCGGAGTACCGATGCAAGCTTATCGTATACTTTTATTGTCAACGTCACGTTTGCATTTAGTAGTGGAAGAGATAAAGAAAAAGGAGGGAAAGAGGTCTGATAAAAAGACAAGTGGAAAACTGAATTTTCCTGTATCGAAGGAAGAAAGAAATTGTACGTGACTTTGTTCCCATTCGACGTAGATTTGAAAACTTTTCCTTGATTTCATCTCCATTCAGAATGAGAGAATTTAAGAAAAATTTCCGGAGCATATATTGTGTTTTCACGTAGCAAATTTTCTCATGAGGATATTTCGTGACATGTGAATTTTAAGTGAATTTTTACGAATATGTTCCAGTGGATTCTTTCACTCTTCCACTTTTTTCCATAGCTTCGCTCTCGGTGAACGGACCTTCTATTCGGGGCGCAACGGACCGCGAGTTTCGACACCTCGTCACCTTTTTTTTATGCTCATCCGCCCATACATGCTCTCTTCCAGTTCGATCAGCCGGTTTACTTCATGTCTGGACGTTGGAGATAACTGTAGAACAATTGAAGGAAGAGCAACGAATATTCTTTGTGAATAGTGAATTGAAATATAAAAAAAGAACTGGCAAAATCCCTTTCGCATTGGAAGATTAAAGAGAAATCATTTGTTTATTGACAGGGATGCATGGACAATCGTAGCTCGGGTGACGGATCAAAGGGTGGATAATGTTCTCTGCTATTATTTATAAATTTCACAAGTGCAGGACAAATTACCTAATGTGTAATAAATTTATCGAAGCAAGCGAAACCAAACTTACCGTTTATCTCGTGATTTTTTCCTCCAGAGCGAGTCAAAAAATCCAGAACTGAATTTCGCTCCACGATTAGTTGATTTGTTTGGTAATATTTTCCCAACTTTTTTTGAAATTGCGAATTTTTGTGCAGCACGGAGATGAGAATTCCTCAACTTCCTTGAATTCTCAATCGAAACATGAATATTCAGTATCAAATTCTAGCATACCTAAATTTTCAAGGAATAATTGAACTAAAATTTACAGTTTCCATCGATTTTCCATGTCTGAACGTTGAAAACAACTGTAGAACAATTGAAGGAAGAACAACAAATATTCTCCATAAATAGCGAACTAAAATACGAAAAAAAGAACTAGCAAAATCCTTTTCGCCTCAAAAGATTAAATAGAAATAATTAATTTATTTCCAGCCATGCGTGGGAAATTGTAGCTCGGGTAAATGATCAAAGGGTGAATAATTTTCAATGCAATTCTGTATAAAATCACAATTCCAAAACAAATTACTCGATTTGTTTGTCAATTTTCTCCCAACTTTTTTCCCGACAAACTACGCTGAATTTTCTATTAATTAAAAATAGTCAATTAAATTTCATTTTCACAGTTTCCATCGATCGTTTATGTCTGGATGTTGAACATAACTGAACAATTGAAGGAAGAACAAAAAATATTCTCCATAAATACCATATTGAAATGCAAAAAAAAGAACTAGCAAAATCCGTTTCGCATTAGAAGATTAAGTTCCAATAATTTTTTTATTTTCAGGGATGTGTGGACAATCGTAGCTCGGGTAAAGGATCAAAGGGTGGTATAAAAGATACAGGGGAGTCGCAGTCGCCGCCAGCACGTGGAAGCAGTCATCATGCGACTGACAGTGCTATCAAAGACGGCGATCTCTTGGCACACGCTGCGTCCGCTCTCAAAAGGCTACACTTTAAATCAGCGGGAGGGAGTCGCAGCTGTCGGACTGTACCCCCAGCCATTACAACTGTTCCCCAGGTTGTCGTCATGGGTTCTAGCACTGCCTCTATCGACACGACTATCTACAATAGCACGGACAGTGCCAAGACGATGGTCACAACGGTGAGCCATCTTCTGAGTCATGAAAAATTAATTGACAGCAATTTTTTTCGCTCGCAAATCCCTTTCTAGAGATATTTCAGCAATATTCATTGTTAAAAACCAAAACTTTTCATTGATTTTCTGAAAATTTCAGGATAGAATTCCTGAATGAAAACTAGTGTCTGAAATTAAGACACTTTTGAGCTTTTTTTAAGACGATTGGATTCTCAAATTTAAGTCTTTTTTCGTGTCTCAAATTAAGACATGTATTCTAGACATTCTAGACACCGAGCCAATCATTTTTTCACTGATGATTTTGGTTACGTTAAAAATAGCGTTATGAAGCAGAATTTGAATAGGGTTAGGCAAATGGGGGTGAAAGAATGTTTGTGATAAAAAATTCTGATGAAAAGTATTTTTCTCAGGATGAAAATTAATGTTTTTACGCCCTTCTGATCTTGCAATGATGGTACATTTGAAATTTTTGGGCATCATCACTTCCGATTGTCGGAATAACGTCTGTAAAATGGAAGAAAATGGATAAGTCACCAAAAACGTCTTATGTCATCATAAATGACTAGTGTGACTGAATTGTCTTCAAGTATTGACTTGAGACTGTATTTCAGGATATTACAGACATAAAAGTTTTAATTTTCAGGGACATGTCACTGATTTCCGGAGACATGTCACTGATTTTGGAGAATCGATCACTGATATTTTTTTCAGTTTGACTTCTGCAGCGGTTATTTTTTTATTGAATTTAGAAAAGCGCGGTTTTGGGTGATTTCCACAACTTTAATATTTTTTATCTCCACAACGATCGCATTCGGGGAGAAACGGCCGTCAGATTGAGAACGAGGGAGGCAAAATCTTAGTGAGGATCGTTTCATGAATTAGAAAAAATGCATCAAAAGTTTATCCGCCTGTGTTATTGATAATACCGGACATTGGCTAGAATGAGCCTGACCATCACTGATTTGTACCACTGAAATTTGGTGATGGATTTCTAAAAATTATCGACGAATCCCTAGAAAATAGTGATAATATCACTGAAAATTGGTGATGAAATCCTGAAAATCAAAACGTTAATTTCTCTGTGTATGCAAACGAAGCCTGAAGTCTCCCATAAAACACAACTTCGCGTCTAACGTCTTCAATTAAAACATCTTGAACACCCCAGTGTCTACAGCAATTGTCCCCCTAATTAATTGTCTGCAGTCCCCACCCACTAATTCCCGCTCAATTTTCCAAAACCAGGTAACAACAGACTCTGAACAGCGAGACGACAGCCTGGACCTCATCGACGAGCCCTCCGAGATGTCACCACCAGCGAACCATCCGGCCTCACCTCCCTTAAAAATCGATTCAACAAATTTAGAAAATTTATCAAAGAGCACAACGGCCAATGGTACACATCAGCGCACGACTGCCCCAAGCGTCGATGCACCATGTGGAGATATACCAGGCGTTAGTCCGGTGAATGGTGTTGGTGCACCACCACCGACACCCCTCATCGGTGCACGTCAAGAAAATCGTTTTACATTTACTAGTGGAAAAACACCAGCATTGCCAGACCTGCGAACGGCGGATTTTAGGTGAGTGCTTTTGCAAATTCTCCCAGTTCACTGTTCATTATTATTTCATAAACCGGGGCATTTGAATTTCATGGAAGAGCCCCAAAAACCGGCCGCGAATTATCGAACATGGAAAATTAATATCAACTGGTCCACTGGCTCCGAATTCCACTCGAACTCGAATGCAATTTCATCCTGGAATTCCCATCAATTATTCACACCTAATGTTTCCCTCTCTATTTTTACCCCAGGATAACTGTCAAATAGTCGTATTCGAGGGGCATTGAGCATACATACCTCTCGGTTAAACTCGATATAGTGTTCAATCGATAATTCGCCGAGTTGACGAGGGTCGGGTTCGTTTTTCTTCACTCTACAGCTCCCAACGTCACGTGTATTCCACACTATTTACCCGCACCACCTACCTGTCCGTCTTTTTCCCTCGCACTGTGTACATAAAGTGTCAAATATGGAATATTCAGTCGGGGGGGGGGGGATTATTTACTCCCTTCATTCAAAATTTCCGTAGCCTCCGTAATGAGGGTCTCGGGAAAAACAGCAATAAAATCGCTGCACCGAAGCAATTACCCGGCCTGTTCAAAGCTGTTAAAGCAACATTGTTGTTGCATCTCAACGAGCCACATATACAGTGTCATACTTTCACATCAAGTTTATGGAAAGTACATATTGTTTACGACACTTGTGGACAGGGTTTAAGAGGCCACAGGGGGGATGAATTATTTATGTCGATGTGATTGATGTCCAAATCACTTTAGTTTGAAATCATTTATTTGAGAAAATTGTGGTTTCGACAACGGTTGTTCTGGGCATGAGAAATTGTCGACTTCATTCAGGAGGAAATATTTCTAGCAGTGAGTACTAAAAGCTCACTGAATTTGAGAGGAAAATTAATGCAGAAAAAGGAGACGAGGTTGTGCATTCAAGCAAAAATCACTGAAGATTGTCAATTTTTCGTCTGATTTTGAGAAGAATCTCTTCGGAATGAGTAAGAAAATTCTTGAATTTTCCCCTCACGATTCTGAAATAAAAAGATGATTTCTATCGAAAATGAATTATTCCCTCTGTTTAAATTCCTAAATTATTATATTGTGGCTGATGTGAAAATCATTTTATTTGCAATTTTATTATTTTTTAAAATTTATCGCCGACATCTGTTGAGATGAGAAATTGTCTACTTCATTCGAGATGAAATATTTCTAACATTGAGTACAGAAAACTCCCCCAATTTGAGTGAGAAGCGTTAGAACACATGGCCAGAATGAAAATTAATACAGAAAAAAGGGAGTAGTTTAAATCCCTTCAAATAAGAAACGAAATTCTTCACTTCTAAAATAAAAACATGATTTCTATCGAAAATAAACGATCCCGTATAAAGTCCAACTAATCAATGCGTCTAGCGCCCCGACGACACCCCAACGACTTCCCCCATTTAATCTCTCCTCCATTCGCGATATTTCCAGTACCCCAGTTCGAGGATCTGTGGACGCAGGCCAGCCAGATCCCCATCACTTGAACTCTATGTTGGCCCTAGTAGCAGCTAAGGAGAGCATTCTGCAAGAGGAGCCAGCAATAATAAATCACATAAACGCAAACTCACTCGTGTTGAGCAGAAAAAATGATGCACAAATCATCGGAGATGGGAAAGAGAAGGCGAAACAATCAAAGGTATCGGCCAAGCCGAGTATTAATGTCACTACGAATCCTCTGGATATATCACTCTGCGGGACCCAGCCAACTTGCAATACCCAGACCTCGGGTAGCACCAGAGGACGAGGGAGACCACCAGGTAATTAGAGGGTTTGTTCGAATGCTGCAAAATCGTTGATTAATTTTATTTTCATTCTCAATGAATTAGACATTCAGCAAACTGTGCACGCGATATTAAGCTTGATTGCGATTCTATGGGTCTTTCAGTTTTGAGTTAAAATCATAAATGAAATTGAAAATTGATACTAGAAATATTCCAAGGCGAGTGAATGAAATCTCGAAATCGGAAAAAAGAATTTGTGACGCATTCTGCTCTCGGTGCTTTTTCATGGAAAAAGTATTGTTTTTTGATAACTCATTATCATGAGGAGAGTAATTTGTTCAATGTGTTTGTGTTGGAAGATCGAACGAGTGCACGGTGATGGAGAAAGAATGTTTAAAAAGTGTTTGTAAATGCAGATGAAAAAAATATGAATTGATTGTTCTTTCTTTCAGAAGCTCATCCCCTCGTTTCAACCATTCATTCATGGGTCAGGCTCTTTTTCCCGTTTTGCGCAATAGGTACAGTCCGGGCGCCTCTGGAAAGACCTCTGAAATGCGAGTAGTGGGAACACCTGAATGGATTTTATTTTTCAATCCTTTCAGTATGTTTTCTTTATTTCGTTGAATCATTTCTTTGATTAGTTATTTTTTCAAAGCCTCTTGTTTTTTTACATTTTCACGTGTGGTCTGGATAAAAGGAAACGTCTTTCTGGGCTCTTTCTTGGGGTGTACGAACTCGATGAGAGTACTGAACACATGGCGCTTGTTAGCTTTTTTTCATTCATTTATTTGGAATTTGAGAGGAATAAGAAGATAAATCATTTGTCAGTGTGGAAAATTTGGGCGGTTGTACTGTGAGCAAAATTAATGCAGCTCGAGGGAAGATTTCGTAAAACAGTGGAGAATATCGCAGCGTCGAGGGTATTGCCGGGAGAAGGACTTTAAGAACGTGACGATATACGTTTATCTTCTTATGTCACTTCATCACACGTCTGTTTACCTCATTTTTTTCCTCTCGCAAGTGCATTTTGAGAGACTTGTGAGACTCGGTATCACGGTGGCGGGGTGGGTTCTGCTTTTATTGAAAATTCAATGGGAGTACGCTGGCTGGGGAGAGACTAGCTAAGGAAATTACGGGGAATATAGTTACTGTCAAACATAGAGAACAAAAAGTTTTGATTTTCAGGGACGTGTCACTGATTTTCAGGAATTTGTCACCGATGGGGAGAGAAAAAGTGGATCAAAATTACCTAGAAAATCGGGGAAAATTACTTTATTACTAAATTACGATTACTTGGCTTATTCGGTAATTTGTATTATTAGTTACTGCACAGTAAAAAATGGGAATGAATTTCGCCTCTGAGTCCACATTAAAAGGAATTAAAAAGTCCACACCGTTTTTGGTGTGGATACACGGAGTTTATTAATTCCGGAGATAAGTGATAAAGGGATTGAATATTGACACCGCCATGGTGTTAACATAAACACGGTAATCCACGCAGTTCGGTGTGAAAAATATAAATCCAGTCCGTGGAAAAATTTACCTCAGGGCAGAGGGTGAATTGAACTCTCAAAAAGAGTTTAACACCGAAATATTCAACCCTTGACAGAGGAGATATTAACACCGAATTTATTTTTACTGTGGAACTAGAATTTCCCCGATTATCAGTTACTCCTATTACTGAAATTTCGTGATAAATTCGTGGAAATTGGCCACCAAATCCCGGAATTTAAGAATTTTGTAATCATTAAATTCCGGAAAATCAGGAATTGACATGTCCCTAAAAATAAAAACTCTTTTTTTGTCTCTGTGAATGATCAACATCGGAAAAAGATGGAATCGAAGGTCCAAATTACGAAAATAAATTGGGAGCAAAGGAAACCCTACGCCATTGTTACCTCTGAGTCTCACCTTTCTCCGCATCGCATAGCTATATCAGAAGCTAATTTCTTTTACTATTTCTCATGACTTAATTTTCACCAGAAAGTCACAAGATTCACAACTCGTTCACTCATCGGACACCTGCATGAGCGCCAACGGGGCTGGGGGTAATAAATTCAATAATTTAAAAAAAGGAACATTGAAAAATCAATTATTAAACAAAAAAATGAACGTTGAAAAGCATTGAAAAAATCGCGCACGAAAAACCCCACGGGCACTCCACGTTCCATTAACATCAAAACGCTGAAAAAAAAGAGATACAATTTGAAACGAAAAATCAAATGAATTAATTAAAACGGGAGAGTGAACGCAAATTGGTTGAAACGAAACATTTCGAGGAAAAATTGGTGTTGGATTAAATCGATGGAACTGAAGACCTCGTGAATTATTGATACCCCCATCAATTCTCTGTTTCACAATACGTCACGAGTTTCCATCGAGTTTCCATCGACGTCCTAACTTGATTGCGATTTTATTTGCAAATAAACACAAAACAAAAGCTGATTACATGTACAAAATGATCGATGTGTTTACTTCAATGATTCAAGTTCGTAATTGTAACTAATTCCGGTGTTGTTGGTGAAATGTGAGGGAGAGGGATAATCCCATACTCTCTTCCATTTTTTATAAATGAAATTTATACGCGAAGTATTGATTTTTTTTGTTGAATTTCCGGCTGCAGAAAAATAAAATCTCCAATTTTTGAGTGCTCAGAGATAAATTAGACTCACACGGAGAGCAATCTTTTTAAAAAATCTTAATGCTAGCACGGGAAAAGGACCGTAAAGTGACAGCCAAGGAAAAATTCCAGTGCTATCACATGAATTTCTCTCGTATTAATATGAAATCTCCTCAGAAATCTCCACAAATTTCACCAGAAAAGACCCGAAATTTTATTTACCAGCGCTGGAATTTTTCATAGTCGATAGATTGTGATTTTTCCAGTACTAGCACTAGAATTTTTCAAAAAATTTCTCTCCATATACAGAATCGAATTCCTGTGGAAAAAAAACATGCGAATAATCGTACTGGTAAAAATCAGTAGCGAAGTGGTAAAACGGTTTAATTCGACTTATCTCCCAGTTGAGTTTTTGAGGAATATTTCCGAATCTAAGGAAGATAGCGAAATTTTCGTAATTACATTTGTTGTGGCACTCAATCGGCTCTACAAAAAAGGTTATAACAAAAATGTCGCTATCTCCCTTAGATTCCGTGATATTCATTGAAAACCGGTCAATACTCGAAATTGACTTGCACCGTTTTACCACTTCGCTACTGAAATGTTTCCTTGAAAAATAAAAAAATTCTTCTTTTCGGGGTGAACCTTCCTCTAACGATATCTTGTTCACTGTAAAATCGGGAAAATGATTTGATATCTAAAAAGGTAACGCCCCGCGATGCATATTGTGAGAGTAATATTTAAAAAAATATTTCAAAAATTCAAACGCAGAATAGACACTATTCCTTTTAAATTGAATTTCCGGGTACGAAAAATTAAAATCTTCAATTTTTGAGGGGTCAGAGATGAAGGCCTATACGCAGCGAACTCCTTTAGAAAAATCCTAGTGTTAGCACAGGAAACCGTTATATGAACATACCAGCCCCAAAATTTTTCACACCCAAAAGATTGTAATTTTTCCAGCCCCAGCACTGAAATTTTTTCAAAAAATTTCCCTCTACGCAAAGAATCGAAAACCTGTGGAAAATCCGCGCGCCAAATAGTACTGGTAAAAATTTTTCCTCGAAAAATGAAAAAGTCTTTCTTTCCGGAGTGAACCGGATAAATAATCTGTTGACTGAAGCAGTAATTCCCCTTGATGGTGATGTACGTTGCGAGGAATGTTGAAACGTGCAGTAGGTGGTGCAATAACCGATGGGGTTGGATATTCAGGCATTGAGTTAAATCGATTTTCACATATCCCAACGTGCCATACGAAGTTAAACCACATTTGCGTCAGGTAAAAGGGCACAAACGTGACCACTCAGAGTGCCATGGCGACCTTTATGGTGTTTGAAACAACGAGAGTGTGTTTGATAGTGCACGTACAGCAAATGCGATTCACAGGTAGATCACTCTACCGAAGGTCCCATCCACCAGGACTCGAGTCAAAGTGTAATTGATTATTTAATCGTTTGCCCAGGGTTGGGGGAGGTGTTTGGCCCCGGTTAGAATCTACTTGAGCGTTCAGCAAGCCCTTCCATTGTTCGGGGCCTGTACAGGCCTATTCAGTTTCCGATTACGCGTCTCTATAAAGCCCGAAAGCTCCGCTATTGACTTTCGATGATTACTGGTGAATTTCATCAGAAATCCAATTCGTGGCCCCGTCGACGCTCAATGAAACTCTATCACTCTGTTTCACCTGGCTATGTATCTTCGCATCTCAATTGCTATAGGAATGCGCTTTAACCAGTAATAACACGTGCATAACATGCTCATTAGCTTGGGAAGATTCAGTTCAAGACGTTAATTCGGGATTTTTAGGTTGAAAATTAGTGTCTTCGAGACGTATTACTTTGAGACGTTATGCGAGGAGCTATTGTCTAGAGAAATTCTAGTGCTAGGATAGGAAAAAGGGCGCGAAGTGACCGCCAGTTTTTATAGCAAAATTTCACAGAAGTCCTCAGAAATTTTATCAATCCCTACACTGTTGGAAAAAAAAGACATTTCATGGGCCGTTGACTACTCATTTTCAGGACTGTGACACTGAATGCGATTTAGAGCAAAAAATCATGAAATTTCAGGTTTTATTGAAAATTCAGTAAAATTCCAGACGAGGAATTCTTAATTAACGACGAGGATTCCTTAATTTATTTGAATTTCCAACCTAATATGAATATTCAGTGCCAAATTACATTGAATTTTCAGTGAAATCTGAAATTTCACTTTTTTTTTTAATTCAAAAAATATTTATCGGAATTTGAGAACCGGAAACCGGAAAATGGAACTGAAATTAACAGTTTTCTTTCACTTTTCCACGGAATTCGGAATTTTCAATGACGAAATTCCTTGAAATTTCAGTGGTAATTAAATTCGATAAAAATTACCAAAAGTGTACCGGAAAATTTCAGGCAAACATTTTTAACCGCGTAGAAATTTCACCTGAACAGCACTAGAATTTTTCATAGTCGGCGGATTGGGATTTTTCCAGTACCAGCACTAAAATTTTTCTAAGAAATTTCTCTCTGTGTAGACATAAAAAAGCGTCCATCGGCTAATTTCATGCCTAGAATTTCTACTGAACGTCTCAATGTCTCGTTTTGAGACGCGAAGAATTACTTAAATTTAGGAAGCCAAACATCTTAAAAAAATGGAGAAAAGTGTCTTAATTTCATGTAATAAATTCATCTGAATACTCGATAGGAATTTCAAAGTTGTCAGTCATATTCAGAGTTTAAAATTCATGTTTCAACGTTGAAAAAATCATAAATAACCCATTTCCTTGATGCATAAGTTAGCACACCCCGTGAATAATTTCGAATGAAATTTCTCAAGCCAAAAAGAACTTTGAATCTCCTCAAACTTGCGAAACTCTTAGATAAGTTCAAAACTGTCTTGAACTCGGTCTTTACACGCGTACCAAGCACATAAATTCACTGAAGACAATTTTATCGCTATGGAATGACAGAGTGATGTTGCAAAATACATTAAATGAATGATTAACAATAGCGAGAATGTGATGTGAAATAACTAACGATGGAAGTTCGATGCTATCTTGCCCAGTGTTCATTAGATTTTTCTTATTCAATTTGAATTGAAAGGTGGAAGCGCTGCCGGAACCAAGAGAACAGCCCAGGCGACAATTGTCGTACAGCAGCCCTCTCTATCACTGGATGCACCAGCGGCAACGATACTGCTGAGGCCGGACATTGACGCCAGGCGGAGAGAGGAGAATATGCGACAGTTACTCGACGTTACCGATACACTTACCTTCCAAGAGATTCATGACATTGAAATGAGGTCAGTTGACTTTGATTTATTTTCATGAAATTTCAGGACATCTTCACTGTGAAAACTACTGTCTTCGAGGGATCTTAACGTATATCCCTGGAAAACATGTTTTTATCAAGATCGTCCCCATGTTTTTCATAGATAAACATGGGGACATGTTAAAGAAACTTCTGTAACTCAAAAATTGGAGACCCTGGAGTATTTTACACATTTTAAGCGTCTGCGGGGCAAACGAGAAATAAACAATTGATTTTTTTGCGCCAATTATTCATTTCTAGATACATAATCGATCTGCAATGTATGAGAAGTCGCATGCCAATACCCCGCGACTTTTAAAATTCATAGTCGTCTCCCCTTAAACTAGAATCCTTGACTCCATCACAATTAGAGGAGAATTACACCCAATAAATTTCCATCAATCGAGGTCAATTTCTCCGAAATCCCCAGAGTTAATCACGAATTTGATTGTAGTTATCCGGGAAAAAATCTCAAGTGATATTGAAGCTTCACAACGAACTATACATTCACGTGTATTTTTCATCACTCTGTGGGGGAGTTTAACTGCCCGAAACACCATGCCATTATGGAAATTCGTGCACACCGTGAATAGCAGGTTTGCGCTGATTTCGAATCGTAGAGATAAGCATCTCGGTGGGTGGAGCGGGGAGGGGCTGAAACTATAAATTCTAGCTAAAAGGAAATTACTCAAACTGCGCTGTCGCACGCAAGACACATCGTATATGTTGTGTTATAAATGTCCAAGAAAGGAATAACGATGGGGGCAGAGAAGGGAGGAAATGAAGGGAATCCACCAGTGCAGTGACATCGTAGTGAAGTGTGTAATTTCCGGATTCGATTTTTCCACTGATATTCTGAGTTTTATTTGGATCCCGAGTCGAATAATTGGACCTGACAAATTCTACTTAGGTCTCTCCGTTCAGAACTGGATAGGTCTTGGGAAGCCTCTTCCCAAGTGCTTCCGAGACCTTTCTACCTCTGGTTATGTCCCATTTCAGCACTTGTTAGGTGTAAGCAGCACTTGCATTCAGACTTTCCAAATCCTTGCCGGTCCCCGTAATTCTATGGGTCTATTTTATTTTGGAAGCATCAATATCTGAGGGTTTCTGAAAAATTGACCTCGATTGATGGAATTTAATTGGACATACACGGAGAGAAATATTCCGTAAAAATTACGGAACTCCAAATTCGCTTACCGATTACGGAATCGACTCAGAAAATTTAAGTGACGGTATCGTAATTTTTCACATGAAATTCAGAAAAAAATTACGGAACGCTCTGGAAAAATTCCGTGACAGTTCTGTAAAATTTCCTATAGCCACATTTCGCTTGGGAATTACGGAAAAGATACGTAATTTTTATTGAATATTTGTCTCCGTGTAATTCTCCTCCAATTGTGACCCGGTCAAGAATTTTCGTTCAATTTCCATAAATCCTTGGCCGTATGAAAACTCAGGGGCAGTTTTGCCTTTTTTGAAGACCTACCGTCTGTCAGCTACAAACAATTGTCCTGAAACCGAACAATATCACTTCCCGTTGTCTCAACGTCTCATTTGAACAAAGTTCTAGCAGCGTCAAAGTGCTTTTCTCGCGTCATCAGCGACAGGAGCGCATAAGCCGGTGGTGAAAAAACATGAGACCTGCCTTTGCTTTCGGTCACGTTCGTATTCATTTATTTTATCTCTCGGTGGAGTGAAAAGGTATAAAACCGAATAAATTTGCCATTCAACTTGTGCTCACGGCCCAGTATAACATCTAAATGACGCGGGAAAAAAACTTCTGCGAACGAAAAAGAAGGCGAAACCGAGGGAAAAAAGTAAGAAAGATTTGTGAGAGGAAAAAGAGAAGGATAAAAGGTGATGGGATGATTCGAGTGATTGAGTCGAGCAGTGAAATATATCGAAAACCGAGAGGGAATAAATGGCAAATTGAGGAGATAGATGTCAGAGCACCCAGTTGGTACTGCGATCCAATGAGAATAGTACTTTCACTTGACTTATATTCCTGACATTTTCCTTGTCAGGTGCTCCGGGAGCGCAGTGGGATCGGTATTTCCTCCGATAAATTTCATCTGGCAAAGATTCGACTTGTGTGTTATTGGACCTGATATCAAACCTTTGCAAACTCTCTTGCCGATATCTGCTGCGTCACACAATGAAGAGGGACCCAAAATTTAACTTCCAGGTGCAAAAATTTCCTGAAAATTATTTTTCATCAAAGGTTACACATTAATTAATTTTTATCTGAATCCGTAATTTTTATTTGAATCTCCTGTGAAAAATTACGATACTGTCACTTAAATTTTTCAAGGGCGCCAGAAATGTCGAAATGAGAAAAATTTTTTTTCACCCGGGGCCAAAGTGTCGAATCTTGGATTTTTGCCGGGGGAAAGTCGACTTTCGCCAAAATCGAATTTTTTGGCCAAGTAAGTGTCGATTCTGTATTTATTGGCCCCTCTAATGCCAATGAAACCCTCCGGGGCGCCAGAAATGTCGAAATAAAAAAATTTTTTTTTCACCAGGGGCCAAAGTGTCGGATCTTGAATTTTTGCCGGGGGAAAGTCGACTTTCGCCAAAATCGAATTTTTTGGCCAAGTGAAGGTTGATTCTGCATTTATTGACCCCTCTAATGCCAATGAAATCCTCACGGGCGCCAGAAATGTCGAAATAAAAAAAAAATTTTCACCAGGGGCCAAAGTGTCGGATCTTGGATTTTTGCCGGGGAAAAGTCGACTTTCGCCAAAATCGAATTTTTTGGCCAAGTGAGTGTCGATTCTGTATTTATTGGCCCCTCTAATGCCAATGAAACCTTCAGAGGCGCCAGAAATATCGAAATAAAAATTTTTTTTTTCACCCGGAGCCAAAGTGTCGGATCTTGGATTTTTGCCGGGGGAAAGTCGACTTTCGCCAAAATCGAATTTTTTGGCCAAGTGAGTGTCGATTCTGTATTTATTGGCCCCTCTAATGCCAATGAAACCTTCAGAGGCGCCAGAAACATCGAAATAAAATTTTTTTTTTTTCACCCGGAGCCAAAGTGTCGGATCTTGGATTTTTGCCGGGGGAAAGTCGACTTTCGCCAAAATCGAATTTTTTGGCCAAGTGAGTGTTGATTCTATATTTATTGGCCCCTCTAATGCCAATGAAACCCTCCGGGGCGCCAGAAATGTCGGATTAAAAAATTTTTTTTTCACCCGGGGCCAAAGTGTCGGATCTTGGGTTTTTGCCGGGGGAAAGTCGACTTTCGCCAAAATCGAATTTTTCCGCCAAGTGAAGGTTGATTCTGCATTTATTGACCCCTCTAATGCCAATGAACTCCTCACGGGCGCTAGAAATGTCGAAATAAAAAAAAAAATTTTCACCAGGGGCCAAAGTGTCAGATCTTGGGTTTTTGCCGGGGGAAAGTTGACTTTCGCCAAAATCGAATTGTAGAAACTGTAGACAAAAATTTCTACGGAATTCAACATGAAAATGAAGCTTCCGCAGATAGAAGAATATTTCAAGCTCCAGAACGATAAGGCCGACAAGAGAGGTCACCTGAATAAAAGACCAGAAAGACAAAAATCCGCTCATAATTTTTCTCTCCCATTGACGATGATATTTATACTAAGTGGGTACAAGGGCAGGTTCTTCGCAGAACATAAAAGCGAATTACTGAGTTCCCCGAGACCCGAAAGTGTCCTCCCCGTAACATTGTTACACACGAGGGGAAGCCCGGCGAAGGACGAACAAGACAGAAGTATTCAATTTCTAAGAGCAAGGTCTCTCACCCTCGTTTCAACCGACCACCCTTCTTGTGTTCGTTGAACCGAGTGAATGGACGAGACTATTGGGCAATTCTCGATATGACAATGTGAATCTCCTCTGAGACAAGAAATTGTGAAACTTTTCTCATCTCCCAATTGTCTTCTCTCATTTTTTTTCCTGCCGGCACGATTAACAGATGGAATAAGAGTTGTCAGAGATGTAATAGACACTGAAGCATTCGAAAATAATATCATGTTTTGTCATTACGGATATGCATGTTCTTTTTCTATAAAAAGAGATCAAATGATTCATTCTTCTTATTACTAATATAATACAATTCACAATTAATTAGGAGGATGGACATTGAAGAATCGTGCTAAATACCGAACATTTTTATCGTGTTCAAGTTCCTCTCAAATTTCAGGAAATCTTGTCATTGAAACACCAAATATTCCATTAATTTTCTGTTTAAATAATCTGGAAATCAATTATTGATTTTTCAGTTCAGTTATTCTGTGAAAATTCATGTCATTTTTTTTTCCAAACATTTATGCTCCACTGAAAACTCAATCAAGTTGTGAAATTTGCATCTCACTCCCACTAAAAAATCATGGATTTCCGTGAATTCTACTTAAAACTTGAAATTTCATAATCATTTTTTCCTAAATCCTCGTCAATGTCACTCTCATGAGAATTACTACAATATCTTCCATGAAATTTCAAAAAATTTCCAACAGTGAATATCGTACAATTTGATTTCATAATACACTAATAGAAAAAATACGACGTGTGAACTTTGAATGACGAACTTCCTTGAAGTTTCCGTGGAACTATGAAGAGATGAAAATTTCCAAGAAGTGGGCCAGAAATATCACCCAAAAATTCTCACCAGTGGATCTCCCACTGCTCAATTTAAAAAACCCCAACAGCAAATGCGCCATCAATAATTTAATTTGAATTCAATTTACTTCAATTAATCAAATCCTTTTGATAATTCTCATTATCAAAACCTTATTGAACATTGACCATTGAATCTCAAAGTAGAATCTCAACTATAATAATCGTCCACAGCCGGATAAACGTCGGATGCAAATTCTGTTACAGATACGGAAGCCCCCACCACAGTAGATCTCAATCGGTGAAAACGCCGGGCAGTCGTTCATCGGGACGTCCAAATTACCTGTGTCTTCCACAACAACGATCTCGTGTCGCCAGTATGCCGAATACGGGAGTTGAGGAGGAATACTACAGACTGAGGCACTTCAGCATAACGGGAAAGGGAATCGTCAACCGTGGTGATTCTCTTAAAAGCCGACGATCCCGTTCCAACAACAGCGTTGCCTCCAGCAACTCTAGGTGAGCGCAGATGTGATCCCCAAGATCCACCCACTTGCCCTCGCTATTTTTCTTGCTCTGCGCCCTTTTACCCGTCACCAACACACTCAAATGCCTTTGCAACATCTCACCGAAAGGATATATGAACACGCCTGGGTGGGATTTCCGTGCACTATCGAGCGTCTCCATCCCCTAAGGTCTCCCAGCGAAGATAGTGACCCTCCCTCAGGTCCTGAATGCATGGAGTTTGTTATACTCACACCGAAGATCCGTCGAAACTCGCCTTATTCAGTGAATATTCATCCTCATGGTGGCACGTCTTTTCAACTAGGTGACATTTCAACTATGACATTTCAACTGAAATTTTAACTACAACATATCAACTAGTTTTTGTGAAATTACTATATTTTTACGAATTAGCCGAAATTTTTTTAATTTTCATTTTAAAGAAAAGAAAAAGAAAAATAAATAAAAAAAAAGAAAAAGAAAAAGAGTAAAGAAAAATCTTTACTCTTTGCAGTTCCACAGACAACGTTATGCAACTCAATTCAACCACTGAATTAATACGTTAATGATTAATATCATACAAAGATTCAATTTATTTTATATTAACAATTACAAGAGATCAATAATCTTCTTTGAGGATTTTCCATGCATTTCGCCTGATGTCGTCTAGTTGAAAAGACATGGATTCCATTCTCACAGCCCCTTCGTTCTCCCAATCATCTTTTGAGAAACTGTCAGAACCTCGCAGCCATCAGTCAAAAATCGTGACGTCAAGAGCGCTGGGGAAAAAGGGATGTAAGAAAATCCCCAGGGAATAGCTTACCACGATCACTCTCAACCAGGAAAAGTCCTGAAGGTCCCCCCAATTTTTTCATCCCTTGTCCACTACTTCAACGATAAATTATCCAATAAACTCTTATATTCCTTTTTACTCTTGGCACAAGAGGGAAAGCCTACGGTAGAAGAACCATAAGGGGTGGAGCGAGTGTTGGAGGTAAAATTTCAATTCGATTTTTTTCCCGATTACACATGTACGTATTGAGGGAATAGAGCTACGCTGAACTGGAAGCGAGGGGTGACATGTTTTTTGAGGAGAGGGTAGACTTCTGGTGACTTTTGCGCGAGTACTTATTGACTTTTCGAAAATAACCTACACTATTTGTGGAATAATCCATCCGAAAATGTTGCAAAACATGATCTTTTCGCATTCCCCGAGGGGGTATGATATACGTCTGAAAAAGTCTGTTTGTCCGTTTGAAATATCCAGAAAAAATCGGTGGAATTGAAAAGCGAACACAAAGTGCAACACTGAATCAGTTACAAACAGCTTATTGACTTCAGGCTCAACCAGAAAAAGCCCTGAAGGTCTCCCCCAATTTTTTCTTCCCTTGTCCAGTACTTAAACAATAAATTGTGTACTAAACTCTTATATTCCTTTTTCCTCTTGATGAATTTGAATTTGATTTTTTTCCCGATTACGGTGGGGGATGTCAAAGTTCACTACTTTTCGATTTAAATTTGATTCTCAATTACAATTAAACAGTTAATTCTAAATATCTGAATTTGATTCTTCAATTAACCTAATAATCATCAGTCTTGCCAAGTTGATTACTGATTTATAAAATATTTGAGAAGATTGAAAATATTGATTGATAATTAATTTAATAACAATTGAAGAATTGTACAACACAGTTACCCAATTTAGTATTCAATAAAATCATTTTAATTCTGCATTACGATTTTGCTCATCTCTTATGAAATCTGAAAGATGCGAGGGGTGAGGATGCGAGTTTTTCGAGGAGAGCAAATACTTCTGATAACTTCTGCGGGACTGTTTATCAACTTTTCGAAAATAATCTCCCCTATTTGTGGAGTAATCCATCCGAAAGAGTTGCAAAACATGATCTTTACGCATTCCCCGAGGGGATATGAAATACGTCTGAAAAAGTCTGTTTATCCTTTTGAAATATCCGGCAAAAAACCGGTGGAAAATGGGCTCTGGGGCTTTATAAAGTTCGGAGCACTGATATTGAAGAGTGAGCACAAAGTGCAACACTGAATCAATTACAGCGATGGAAATATTGCGTTAGGTTACTAGCACACCGGAGACTCTTGCAACCTGCGAGGGTTGCCGCATGCATACGACGTTAGAGTGTCAGAGTGGAGCGAGACTTTAGGGAAAACCCTCATCTATCCAACAAACTAACACCCCGTGATGCATCTTACATATCCCGTCTTGCATGGAGGCACCCTGTGTTGATGTACTTGCACGTTCACTCATGTTTCATTGATTGTTACACAATTAATATTCATTCCTCATGCTGAATTAACATTTCAGGGCATTCAGCATCGATAAAGGCAATTTTTACGATTTGAGATTTTTCTCTTTTACGAAAAAGTCGTCATTGTGGGAAAATTATTGAAAAAAAATGTTAAGTGAATTGATTAATTGATCGATAATTATAAAATTTCAGGTATTCTCTCGAAGCAAAACATTATAGGTAATTTTCATCTCCTCCTTTTTCAATATTTTTCAATTCAATGTTTTTTCTTAAAAAAATTTGACATTTTCATTTTGTTCTTCAATTAATTTCGTATCGAAATTTCATTGATATTCGTAGATGGAATGAATCCATGAAATGTAAATAAACTCGATTTGAATCTAGTTATTCAGTCGTAACCAACTATCGACAATGCTAATATTTTTCATTGTTCTGAGCTCTCAATAATGTGATGCAATTAAAGTTTTCTCACGTTGCACTTTCTCTTGTACGACCTGGGGGGGGAGGGCCATACAACAGCCATTGTCTTTTTTTACGAGGTACGTCAAACGGTACCGCAGAGGGTACCTCAGATGACTTTCAGCAAAATAAAAGGGATGATAAAAAAGTGATATTTATTTTCCCTTCGCGTGTATTCATCTCTTTCACCTGTGAGTGAGAACAGAGAAGCCAATTGAAAGCCAAAACAGAAGTAGACGAGACTGGGATCAATGCTCTAGATCGAACGCGTGAGTTTACGTGTGGCGAATTTAGGTAAACGTAGACCCACGTGTTAGACCTCAGAGGGTGATCCGTGAGCATCAAATTTGTGGCTTGACGAACACATATCCAATGGTATATCTGTTAATGGCAAATGTCCCCCTGACGAGCTGACACAACCAGGTGAAGCTTCGCACATCACGACGTAATATGGCATCTGTACTCTGTGTATTGATCGACAATGTCATCGAGTACTCCAGGAAACATCTCTCTACGCTCTGGCTCGACCCAGGAACTTCCTCGTCCTCTGACATCCGCTGGAAAGACTAAAGATCATTAGAGATAAGAACGAATGTGGAAGAACAAAAATAATAAAAATTATTGTGCCGTCACTGTGAGTGAACTCTTGAAAATGAATTGCAATTCCGTGGAGAGTTGAATATTATTTTGACCCGACCCCAATGTACCAATGATTTTTCTCACCGTTCATGAGTAAAGTTGGCCTTTTCAACACGAATCAGCAATTAACCGGACATGGAAATTTATCTGCAGTTACCCAATGGCAAATACATATAAATCAGGTGTATTTGGGGTCCTTTGAGTTTACCCCATACCTATAGGCGTATTGTACAACCCGGTTGAAGCAGAATACCGTCATGCTATACATCATGTGCAATGCATGTGTCAGCTATTCCCCCTGTCCCCCTCTTCACAATCATTAACCGTCCACAGGCCTTGCACTAGAGTGTTTCAAACAGGGTAATTTCAACCCATTTCCCAGCCACGTGTGTTTGTGCTTAAGCATTGAATTGCTCTCCTGCAATTTCCCCTCCACGTAATCGATTCAATTTGCAAAATATAATTTTTCATATTTCTCTGTCGTTATCTCTAGTGAAAAAGTGATTATTATCTCATTACACTGTTTCGTGATGAATATCTCGTACCCCCTGGTGGGTAAAGTAAGATGAGTTGTCTGGTGATTAACTATTGTGTACAAAATGTTTTGTTGCAGTACGGAGCATTTAACAGCCTCTTATCCGGGCTCAGCGAGGAACTCAGCGGCTGGTTCGTTAGCGAGCTCACGTGAAAGCAGCGCATCACAGGGATCAACTCCTTATCGTGTACTGATGCTGGGTGCACCATCTGTGGGAAAAAGCTCTCTCGTATCGCAGTTCATGACGTCCGAGTATCTCCACGCCTATGATACGTCCATCGGTGAGTTTATAATTATTATTGTGAAGCATGAAATAGGAGAAACTCGGTGAAATTGTGGAAATGAAAGAAAGTAATTGTGGACTGGGGGAAAAGATGTAATGCAGAGGCTTGACCCGAGATTAATTGAATGGTGAACACAGAGTACTCGGAATTATAGGATATATTTGCATCGATGGGATATTTAATTGGCAATTACGGAGCCCAGATAATTGGCAAGGGAAATGTCAAATTTCCTCAACTGAAAAATTCAGTGTATCTGTTCCTCGAATTCATCTTAGCTAACGATCAACGCCAATTAGCCGAAAGAGCTGGCCTCAATCGTTGCATATCCCTCATGTGCGTACGTACAGTGACCTAGTTGAATCCCCATCTATTTCCAATCCTCCATAGTCGCTTGATTTATTGTCGAATTAGCACCGGTGTACATGTCTGTTGTGGGGAATGGGTTGTTTGAATTCAGTCGATTTTTGCGGGAAGGTCGTGTTTTCCGAGAGCGATAAAATTTTGGAACAGGGGAGTGAAAGTTGTGATATTAGTTCGGTTGATTAATTGTTGAATATTGCTTAATCCCTATTGCAGCGATGAATTTTTAATAAAAATGTCGTTTTCATTCGTTGTTTCTCCAACATATTTCTCGGGGAAAGATGATTACATGCATTGAATGAAAGCTGTTCTGCTCGGGGTAGTTATCGCCCTCAGTGAGAGAGAAATTTAATTCAGACGATACATTTCGGTTTCAGACAAGAATTTATAGAGAAATTTTGGGTAGACATTTTGGGCATTTCTTTCTTTGAAAAAACTTGTCCTTCTCTTCCAGGAAATACAGGGGAAGTTGCCCAGTCACTTGATTTATTATCGAAATAACAGCGTATATGTGTGTTGTAGTTAATGGGTTATTCGGATCCATTCGATTTTTTACGGGGAGAAACGTGTTTTCGGAGGGCGATAAAATTTGGCAATAGTGTAGTAAGAGTTGTAACATTAGTTCATTTGATTAATGGTTGAAAATTACCCCTTTCGGACTGCAATAATGAATTTTCAATAAATGTGTAGTTTTCATTGTTTGTTTTCTTAAAGTATTCCTCTAGAACAGATGATTACATGCATCCTACGAACTGTTAAGTAAGAAGTGAAAGCTGTTTTCCCGGGGTAGTCACCATCCTCACTGAGAAAAGAAATTAATTGAAGAATTCATAGAGAGATTTTGCGTAGAAATTTCGGGCAATTCTTCCATTCAAACAGACATCCATTTCTCCAAGGAAATACGGGCAAGTTCACCCTTGTACAGTCACTTGATTTATTATCAGAGTACCACCGTACACTGCGTTGTATTTAATGCGGTATTCGGATCCATTCGATATTTTACGAAAACAAAGACATGTTTTCGAAGAGCGATAAAATTTTGCTACAGTATAATGAGAGTTGTAACAACGGGTCATTCGATTAATCGTTAAACCTCGCCTATTCCTGATTGCAGCCGTGAAATTTCAATGAATATCACCCCTTTATTCCCTGACTCCCCAACATATTTCCCCTGAAACATGGACACGAATTCAAAGAAATCTTGAGTGAGAAGTGAAAGCAGTTTTCCCGGGGCAGTCACCACCCTCACTGAGAAAAGAAATTAATTGAAGAATCCATAGAGAGATTTTGCGTAGAAATTTCGGGCAATTCTTCCATTCAAACAGACCTCTATTTCTCCAAGGAAATACGGGCAAGTTCACCCTTGTACAGTCACTTGATTTATTATCAGAGTACCACCGTATACTGCGTTGTATTTAATGGGGTATTCGGATCCATTCGATATTTTACGAAAACAAAGACGTGTTTTCGAAGAGCGATAAAATTTTGCTACAGTATAATGAGAGTTGTAACAACGGGCCATTCGATTAATCGTTAAAGCTCGCCTATTCCCGATTGCAGTCGTGAAATTTCGATGATTATTTTTCCCAATCGGATTTCGACCAATCAGAGCGCAGTATTTGAGGCTACCCGACAGTTTTATTTCGGATATTTCCTCCTAGCTTGTGAATATTTCGCAGTAGTTCTTCATTTTTTCCGCTCATTTCGGATAGAATCTTATATTTGACAGTCTATGGAGATCGGGTTATTCTATTAACATAATTTGTTCAAATCTTCCCCAATTCACCTCCTGATGTTGTCCACTGCACTCTGTTTGGCCAAAATCCGATTGGGAAAAATAATCCGACAAATACCCCTCGAGATTCCAAATTAATCGGGTGTTTCCCTCAAGCTCATCTGAAAACAGATCATCGTGCCAAGTGTTGCAGAAAAATCCCTCGCGCAACCCTCGGGATTTTTTAACCTGAAGAACTTGATACCCTCATCTGTTTGCAACGAAGCTATCGGGAAATAACCGATAATTTCGAAGCTCTTGGGGTATTACTACTGAATATCTTCCCTTTATTCTCTGACTCCACAACAGCCCCTGCACGGAGAGAAATTTTTGATAAAAATTATCCTACCGTTCTATAAAAGTGTATCATGAGTCGTTGCTTTCTCATTTCTCTCCCGAAATTTAGTAAAAACTAATATATGATGATCAAATTTTATTCTACGTTAGAGAAATTTTATCCTAATAAAAATAAAAATTACCGCGCCGGTAGAGTAAAAATTATTGTACCGTTAGGGTAAAATTTACCAACCGTTCTAGAATTTTCCTTTTTATCTACATAAAAATTATTGGACTGGAAGGGTAAAATTTATTATGCGTCAGGATAAAATTTCCCCAACGTAGAATAAAATTTGATCATCATATATTAATTTTTACTAAATTTCGGGATAAAAATGAGGAAACGATGACTCATGATACACTTTTATAGAACGGTAGGATAATTTTTATCAAAAATTTCTCTCCGTGTGAAAGATGAACACAAATTCAAAGACATGTTGAGTGAGACGTAAAAGCAGTTTTCCCCGAGATAGTCAACACGGTAATTGGCCTGATTGCAGTATGCATCATCCTCTCTATTCCTCCAAGGAACTACTGCAAAATCCGCCCTTGCGTTAAAAGCCTAACGCCTGTAAGATCCACACAGTACTTGTTGATCAAGCTTTTCTGCACCCACGCCATGATTTCTTCTTTCATCTGCACGCGTCTCCGAGCTTTTCTCCCCTTATTTACCTTTTCCATCATTCATTTCCCTCCAGACGAAATCATACATATTCAGACTCAAGAAGAGAGATCTCTCCCGTAAAAGAAAATCCATTTTGAGTAGAAAGATATGTCATTTGAATTAGAAACAAATTCAAACTTCAGCTGGGAAATAAAAATTTGATATCATTTTGAAAAGTTTAATTTGTATTTTGAGTAGCTATTTGTGTTTCAGATGACGAATCAGGGGAGAAAACTGTGAGTGTACTTTTGGCCGACGAGGAGTCCGAGCTCACGTTTATCGACCATCCGAGCGCTGAAATGACGGTGAGTATTTTTAAAAATGAATTCTGGGGAAAAGGGCGAAAGGTGCACTTACCTTGGTACATAACATTATAAAAAAGTTATCCAGGAGCTTTTATGTCATTTCTATCCGGTCACGAGGTATTTGACGTTCAACTGCCTCTGATATTTTTATCGGTGTATTCGGTATCTGCAACTAGAGCAGTAAAAGAGTCATCTGGAGAAGCTATTTTTCTTTTTCTCAGAAGACCGCGACAATGACTGCATTTTTTAAAAGCCACGGTGGACCGGATGAATATAAAAAAATATATAAAATTCTTATGTGGAAGCCCTGCAGCGGGACTTGTGCAAAATTATTCGATCCATTCACCTCTTATTGTCTATTCATGGAACTCGTGAGTCTAACGTTAGAAAAGTGTCTTTACGGATGAAAAAAATTGATAGAGAAACGTAGCGATTTCGGTAGGGAATTCTACTGGATTTCTATTGAACTTTCTATTAGTTTTGGGCCGATTCTATTGAAATGTTCAATAGAAAGTATTCCATTGTGATATTTCCTGTAGGATTTTCTCGGCTCAAATTTCCCAAGTTTTTTTCTTCATTTTTCTTGATGAGAAGAAAAGAAAAATAGAATGGAGAAAACTTTGAAAAATTGAGCCGAGGAAATTCTATTGATTTTTTATATTTAAATATTTTCGATTGAACATTTCAATAGAATCGGCCAAAAACTAATAGAAAATTCAATGGAAATCCAATAAAATTTTGTAACAAATTTGTTTTTCTTTTTCGTTTTTCTGTTGAATTTTTTCGATTAAAAATTTTCAAACAATTTCACCTCGTTGACAATTTTATGCAGAATCATTCAATCCATTCGCTGGATATTGTCTTCTTGATGGAATAGTACGTTTCTGTCTAAAATAAGGAAATGAAAAATGATAGCGAAACTTTCGTAATCAAGAAATCTCCAATTATCCAGTATTTGATCTCAGAGACAAATTTATGCAGAATTATTCAATTCACGCATTTGCCATTGTGTTCTTGATGAAATTCATGAACTTAACGTTAGCAAAGGACCTTTCTCCATCAAATAAGCAAACAAAAAATTATGACAAAACTTTCTTTAGTCAAGGAAATCTCAAATTATCCACAATTTCATCTCATTAATTTATTTTTGTACAACATAATGTACATTCGCTTGAAATTGTCTTCTCGGTAGAAAAGTACCTTTTTGTATAAAGTAAAGAAATTAAAAATGACGGCGAAACCCTCATCCGTAATAAAAAAACTCCAAATACCCAGTATCTTACCTCATTGACAATTTTACGCAGAATTATTCCATCAATACACCTGACATTGTGTTCTTAATGGAATTCTGAGTCCAACGTTAGCAAAGCACCTTTCTTCATAAAATAAGCAACCGAAAAATTACGGCGAAACTTTGGTAATCAAGACGACCTCAAATTACCCATAATTTCTCCTCATTGACAACTTGATAGAGAATTATTCAAACACGCACTTAAAATTGTCTTCTTGACGGAATTCTCGAATCTAGTCGCGGAGTGCAGCGTGCGATAAACTTGACTTAGTGCACGGGATGATGTAAAAGAACTTTCTCCGTAAAATTGAGGAACAAAAAATGATGGCGAAACTTTCTTAATCAACGAACTTCTCAAATTACCTATGATTTCATCTCCTCAAATTCCCCGTAGCTATCAAAATCTGCGTTCAGGCCGTAAAATGTTGCCTCTATGGTGGTATTAAACGTCAAGGTACGTCATTCTACCTGAGGCTGGTAGTCTAGCGCTCAGATCATTCGTTGTTGAAGGGGAATGTGGTACAGTATACCACTAAATGTCACCCTCAGTGCCCATGGAGTTTTGGTTGTTCGCATCAACTCACGGTTATAGGTATCCCGAAAAGCCCCTATGCGCCATCATGTGTATGTCACATCTCGTCCCAACTGATACATATGGATATTTCGTGACCTTCTCCCCCCTCGTTTTGAATTATCATCTTCATTCTGCATTCAATTCAGCTCTAGAATTCCCTAAAATATTGTTTGTACTCATGAATCCAGAAAAAAAATTGATGTATGAATAAAAATAAAAGTCGAGTTATTGGAGATCGAAGGGAGATGATAGCTGGTGGAACATGTGGGTCGTTGAGAAGTTATTCAGAATTGAAGAAGATAAATTACCACGAAACAATTCAGTAGCGAAGTGGTAAACCGGTACAAGTCAATTTTGACTATTGACCAGTTTTCAATGAATATCTCGGTATCTAAGGGAGATAGCAAAGTTTTCATTATAACCTTTTTTGTAGAGCCGATTAAAAGCTACAACAAATGTGATTACGAAAATTTCGCTATCTCTCTTAGATTAGGAAATATTCCTCAAAAACTCAACTGGGAGATAAGTCGACTTAAACCGTTTTACAATTTCGCTACTGAATTAAAACCTTTGTTTAAAATTTTTTACTTGTTTCGAGAAATTCGTTGTTACAAATAAATAAACTTGTCTCCTTGTCGAATAAACAATTTATTTATTCCAAATAAATTATTTATTAAAACCAAATGAACAATTTATTCTTTTCAAATGAAATTTTCTGATTTTTAAAAACTCATATTCTCGTGTTTTTTGTGAATGAAAATTGAAATTATTTTTGAACAATAATCATTCTTTCGTAATATCAATTCCGGAGCGATGATAAATTATTCGCATTAAATCAATTGTGATTAAGTTCGAGCAAACAATATATTCCATAAAATGCATTTTTAAAATTATTCTCGATACACTCATATTAATAGTAAACGAGGAACGAAATTACGTTTGCCTCTGGCACCGGATATCCCTGATGCACAGTTAATTATCCCGGTACAGTCAATATCTGCAGTAACATAATTCAGAAGGTTATTATACCCCGTGATAGGCGGATGAACTTTGAAGGTTTTCAGCGTTGGTTTAACGGCGTTTATCCGGTAACTCATCGCTGAATAATTTCAAGATAGTTGGTTAGACATATGTATTCAGCCACCGCACATGTAGAGATAATACGCCAAAATCCACTGGAGCTTACGTACCCTTAAAATTCTCCAACTCACGTGCGGGTTTTACGAGCCTTCGAGAGGTGAAGGATGGATGTAATATTATAGAGAGGGATCAAATATCAACTATTAAAGTGGGGGAATTCCTGGAATGATTTGGCAGCTTTTTTCTGCTTGAGAATGTGGTGTGTGAACAGAAAGGGCACGATAATTAAACCAAAATTATCAGAGAACTACTGTTTTCTTCCAAATACTTCAATAGAACTTAATTGAAAGAGAAGACGAATGAGTTATTGTTTCTATTTTATTATAGTATAAACATTTTTGATAATAAATCAGCTTTTTACATTCATCATGGAATCACTTGAGACATTTCAGTAGCGAAGCATTAAAACGGTTTAAGTCGATTCTGACTAGTGGCCAGTTTTCAATGAATATCTCGGAATCCAAGGCAGATATCAAAATTTTTGTTAAAATCTTTTTTGTGGCGCGTTTTACGAGCTACAAAAAATGTCATTACGAAAACTTTGCCATCTCCCTCAGATTCTGAGATATTCCTAAAAAACTCAGCTCACCGCTTTGCTACTGATTTGAAAAATCTTATATTCGTTAAAAAATCTGAAACTTGAATTTGAACAATTACAAATCTTCCATTTGGGAGCGAAACTACTGTGGCTGGGGAGAAACTCGTTCCCTTCCACCAAAATTAGTCAATCTTGTTGAGAAAACCTAGTTTAAGTGTCAAGAATGCGTATAGCACTTCACCAAGGCTCTCGTGCAGGAAATACGTGTGAAGAGAGAGGTCGAAGCGAGACAATTAGATGCTTCGTTGCACTGAGTGAGTGGTGGTAGATAGAAGGAGTGAATTCCCCCAGCTGAGTATTTCCACTCTCTCCCATTCCTCATCTCTCATTTACTTTTACTTAAGAATGAAGAAAACCCAGGGTGCTAGTTGGAATGGTACGCACTCATTATCAAAGGCAACTGTTGAATATTCCTTTGGTCCCCCTGCTCTCTGCACTTTTGTCATAAATTGGAGGATACTGCTGTCAAAGGAGGGAATATTCTGGAATTAATTCTGGAATAAATTCTGGACGAGCTTACGAATTCGTCCTCTACATTTTTTTCTCTCATTTCATGAAAATTTTCTTTCCCCATTTCGTTATGTTCTTTCAGTTACTGCCAACTCTTTGATGTGAAATGAAGTAGTTCAATGCGAACTTTGACCCAGATTTACCCGAAAATTGGAATTTCCATCACCCATGTTATGTCCATTTACCGTCACGTACTAAACCTCTGAACTTCTCGTGTAGCACTTGATCAAATTAATTATGTAAGCCACAAAGTGCTGAGGGTCTCCGAAGCGCTTATATATCTGGACGGTCCTGAGTGTAAGGAATGGCTCCGCTGGAATATCTTGTCTTGAGAGAAATTGGAAATTTTTTTTTATGATGTGGATTTTTTCAAATGGCCCTGATTTCATCGTTCATAAAACATTAATTAGTTTTCAGGATTTCCGATGTTCAAAGGATGGCTTAAGCCGTCCTCAGTAATTTTAGGGCAGTTGAAATTAACGAAGAAAATTCTCAAAGACTAAATTATCCCTTAATTATTAGTGGAATAATTTAGACTGAGAAATTTCTTCGTTGATTTCAACTGCCCTAAAATTCCTGAGGACCGCTTACACAACCCTTCGAATATTGACAATCATGAAATGCAAGGACAAAAAAAATATTGCTGAAATTAATTGATTTTCATGTGAATGAATATCGAAGTGTCGATTTCATTGGGAGCTTTCGACTGGATAGAATCCTCTCCCCATTGCACCATATAAAGTAAAACAATATAACCAAGTTATTATTACACTCAAAACGATGCCAATAAAACTTTGTTTTGTTGTTCGTCGAATAAAGTCAACGCCCGACATTTATTCGCATCGAATTTAATAAATGTTCTTCAGTGTTTAACGAAGTGAATATAC